AGAGGAGGCATGAAAAACTCTCTAAAATATTGCTACTTCTGTTTGTTTCTATAGTTTTAATGAAAAATGACTCTCGACCATCTTCATTCTTGTATTTTCCTTTTCCTTTGAGTAATCTGCGTACTTGTACTCGATCTCTATTTTGTTGATTTAACCAAAAAACATAAATTGAATTCGATCGATCTTAAACCACGTTCATTTAATTCTCTTTTTACAAATTCTATCATTACTACTACAATAACATACTCAGTGAAATCTCACTTGGTGGGATCTAAGAATAGTTGAATGTACGCATACCTTACTGCTACCTCGTGGAGCTTTTTGAAAGACACTCGGCTCAAGTCAAACCTAAGTAAAAAAAAAAGCGAGAAAACAATGAATAAGAAAAGTAGTTGTAAACAACAATTTTTTACAAATTCTACTATTAATCAGAATAACGAATTTTGGGTTAACAATATGATTTCGACAAAATTCAATAACTTTGATCTATGTCTTATATATTTACTTGAAAAATTCTATTCATGAATATGTACATATCATAAATTCAAGAATTTATGAACTTCAATACCTAACACTCGTAAACTTCAAATCTTGAATAGTCTGATTCAACAATTGTTTATTAATTTTGAATCATTTGTCGGTTGCCACCTACTTTACACAGCACCTACTTACTATATTACAAAAGTATTTTACCATGAAATGAAGGGTTGTTGCTCCAAATCTTTGAATATCTTTCACTAAAATCTTTGTATTCCCCACAACGTGTGAAAGGTTTAAGTCTATTGTACCATATTAGACTATAGTACTAAATATGCAGGCCATAGCCAACTCTATTTTACTGCTCCCTCCGTCTCAATTTATGTGGCACAATTCGACTTTTGTAAGTCAACCAAGTTTTTCTTTGACTTGATTTTGTTTTTGCATATCTCTTAAATATTTTACGTTACGCTGCTAATTGTTGTGATTTATATATTATTTTTAACATAGTTTTTAAATATATAAACTTTATTTTTTTTTTAAAACTTAAAGTTTTTATATCCGAATTCATAATCAAAGTTAGAAGTTCAAATCTCAAAATCTCAACAATACTAGATAAATTGAGATGAAAAGAGTAATATTTGATGATGGAGTTGGGCAATTAGTTAATGATATTCCAACTCAATGTATATGTAGAAAATAGTAATGCTTCTGAGTTTGCCAGTTCAAATGTGGTCTACTGGGTTTTGTAGTTTTTGGGAAATTCAAATATGTTTAGGGTTTGGTAAGGGTCGCAATTGTCTGTAGGTAACTATCCGACTCGATCTAAAGTAAATATCAATAGTTGATTTTACAAATACACAACATAACTTTTTAATTTATCGTATTCAACTGATCATCTTTCACTCTATATGGCCCCGTCACTATGAATAACCTCATATGAACCATCTCCCCTTTCCCTATCAAATTAAAGTAAAAATCAATTTGTCAAACTTGAAAAATTCATCTTCAGAAACTAACAAAAAAATCAATATATAGAATCAAACAATGTTTTGAAATTAAAAAAAAAAGAAAAAGGAAAACAATTCTACGTCCAAACAACTCCTTAGCTTGTTAACCCTCTAGTGATATTTCAAGTTTAATTTTTTTTTTGAATTTCTTTGGTGAAAATCTTAAATCCGTCCAAGTGCTCCACTATGTTTTTTTTTTTTTCATGGTGAGTGGCTATATACACTGTATTTTTCTCCCCATCCTAAATCTTATTCAGTATACTTTCCAAAAATAAAAAAGTGTGAATTCTTAAAAAAAAAAAAAAGGGGGGGGGGGGGGGGGGGGGGAATTAGTGGCCACAACATATTGCTTTTTATCAAATGAAAATATATGTATTATATTAGGTATGCATATACTTTTCTTTTTCTTACTTTTTGACCAAAAGTAGTACGACGTATTAGAAAACGTCCACTTAGATATGAGAGGAAAGATGCACTTACCTTTCTTTTATTTATTTTTGGAATATATAGATAACTTTTAAAAAAGTTTAATATATTTTATTTAGATATTTGAATTATGTATGATTTGTTTTGATTAAACATTTGAATACTTCATAAAGTACTTGTATTAAATAACTTAAACTCAAATTTTGTAAAATCTCATGTGCATGTTTTCAAGGTAGAGCCCATTTAGTAGATACTTAAAGAATTTAAAATATGGATAGGGTAGTGCTAAATGGCCAGAAATTTAAAAAAATTATAATATTTTTTTTTATTTTAAAATAAATTGATTTTTTTTTTCATTTTTAATTAAAATGTATTAAAGTTAAAAGGGTAAAAATGTTCAAAAAGGTAAAATACCATTCTGGCCAAAAGATTTTTTCCTTAAAATATTTTACCTTAGTCAAATATGCTCATTAACTTCAACAAGTCATAATATCATAGGTTTGTTTTCATTGATGATGTTATGTGTATAATTAAATGAGGAGAAATAAAAATATGAATAGTTTGTTTACGTAATGAGCGCACTTGAGAATACTTGCGGAAACTTTTTGAAGTATGAGTTAGAAGTGTCTATATAGAAACACTTTATCATGCGTTCAAGTGCTTCATTGAGACATATTATTTAAGTATTCATATGAAATTTACTAACAATTTTAAGAAATTTGTCAATAAGTTTAACCTTAATTTTAACTATTCCAGTCTATATGAGTATGTCCATGAGTTTCGAACTCCACTTCAATCGCGATTAATTTTGAATTTATGAAATTAAATAGAAGAATAAAATAATAATTGCGTTGGGACATATATTTATGTATATTAAAGTAAAATATTTAATATAACTATAAAATTCAAACTAAAATTACTAAATTTTATCGAACTCGTATCTCAAATTCACCCTTGCACTTCTTTGATTGCAATTTTATCCTATATTAAATTAAACAAAGTTCAAATGTTTTTGGTCCTTGTTTTATGTCGACCGTTTTCGAAAAAAGATATTTGATGTGAGTTTAATTTGATGATAAAATGACAAAAATATGGTCCCTAGTGTTTGATGTATATTTATAATGATTGATTGAATATATTTTTGAGCAATTTTAATTAATTTTGATCTTTTAAATTTATTAAAAGAAAATATTGTTTGGTCTCTATAAAATAAATATTTGATAAACTATGAATGTTAAGGGGCTATTTCTGTTTGAATTTAATTCAATAGAATTAAGTGGATAAAATTATATATCCAACCTTGAAAGTGTTAAAAATATCGTAACAAGTTATTTTATTACTCTATATTTAACTCAATCTAAGTTAGCATTTTACTGTATATTTAAATCAAATTAGAGTTCATTCTTTAAAATATTTTTAAACTCTCAAAAACTGGTTATTCGACTTAACAAATTTTAAAAATTATCAAGTAAAATGCATGGTCAAACACAATTTTAAAAATTATAATTTTAAATACGTAAATTTTAACTTCAAAATCTATAATTAAATACGAGTTAAACAGCTAGGCTGATGTAGTCATCACTAGCTATAAATTATTGTCAAAATAGATTCCAAACAATTCAACATTGGAATTGTTGATGTCTCCAAAGAACTATGATTGATTTCTTTAATCATGGGAAAATCTTTTTTCACTCAAAAAAAAGAGTATCTATATATCCAAATTTATAATAAAATCAATAGGTTTGATGAAAAAGAATTTGGTCCCCTCCTAAACCAAGTCCTCCTAGGACTATATATATAGGAGTAGTAAATTATCAATTTTTTAGGCATGGACCAGTTTACCATGTCCCCTACCCCCTCTATCTATATATACAATTTATTTATTTTTAAAAAAAAATCATTTTAATACATTATTTAAGATTAAGTTACCATTTTAATAATCTAATTTTAGTTTCACGTGTAAAGTTTATTTATTTAAAAAAAAATCATTTTAATACATTATTTAAGATTAAGTTTCCATTTTAATAATCTAATTTTAGTTTCACGTGTAAAGTCTTCATCTATAATTCTATATTTTGGAATAATGAACTTAAACATCATTATCATGTGTTATGTGACAGAAGAATGCATGTATATTCAAGTGAGATAGATTTTATAGAATAATTATAAGATCAATAATGTTATACGAGAATGAATATTGAGTTGTTTAAGTCCAACACATTCACAAAATGATCTTAAAAAAAGTGAATAATAAAATAAATATACTGTCATACAAGACTAGATAAGATTAGAGATAATAATATTCACGAGAAAATTCAAATAACACATGTTAAAATATAGTATGCTAAAATATAATTGTATTTGCTATAGCATTGATAGTAAAATATCTAGATTATAAAGTAGGTTATCAATCGTAACATGTTAAAATACATTGATAAAGTAAAAGCTATTTATTATTTCGAAATAAGCATAAAACATTTATAAAAAAAATCTCTATATTCCACAAAGATAGAAAATCAGTGTGCATCCTTTTTCGATCGATTTATGAAATTATACTAAATATGTTATTGATCTTGTTAAAGTTACACATGGTAAGAATCGATTTATAACACATATATGATACTATGAATAATGCTAAATGGAGTGTATTACGTTCAATCACTTCTTCTTTTTTTTTTTAACTTTTTCTTCTTCTCACCTTCTTACTTCAGTCACCACTAAAGAATATATAGTGCTAGATGAGACTGCTTCTCTTTTAATCATAGGTAATGACTTAAGTTTGAATATAAAAATATTCTTAATAGAGAGTCTCTAAATGGTGTAAAGCTGGATTAATTCCATTTTAATATGAATATCGAACCTAAAAAAAAATCTTCTTCCTTCTCTGTCTTTGTTGATCATGTGCAAATATTATATTGGATGGTCCGTACTCTGACAATGACCATTCAAGAATGGTGGCACATGCCACTTCTGTCAAATCCAATACCCCACCTCAATTTCAATGGCGAGGATCTTTCATGTACAGGTTTCATCAAACGGCTGTTGATTGAAGCTTTTTCCCCCAAAACCCCTTTCTCTGATTGAGTACACTCCTTATCTTTCTCTCTCTGTTTCTTGATTTTCTCTCTCTACTGTTATTCAGGTCGAGCTTGGTCGGGTGTGCTATAAAACAGAAAAAAGAACATTTCTTTATCACTCTTTCATAGATAGTGATTGCTCTCAACTGAACTTCTTTTCTTGATATTCAACTAAAATCAAGAAAAGAGTAGTGTTCAGAATTTCACAAACACTTCAAAAATTTGATCTTTTTTTGTTTAAGCTGGTTTTTGTGTTTTGAGGTTGTTAATGGAGGTCTTGGAGAAAGAGAAGTGTTGATTTCTTTAAGGTTTGATGTGGGGGAGCTGAAATTAAGAGTCTTTTTTGGTTGGGGGTGGGGGTAATTGAAAGTTTTTTATATAATTGTCTGGATAATCATAATTTAAGGGTGTTTTAGATATATATAATTTAAGGAGAATTGTGTGATTAAAAATATGAAGCTTTCAACATCAGGAATGGGTCAACAAGCTCATGAAGGTATCTTCTCTTCCTTTCATGTCTTTTTTTTTTCCTCCCAAGATTGCCTTATTATATATCCTTGTCTCTGTTTTTATCTGTATATTCTTTGTGTTTAGCTAATAAAAGAGAGATCTTTAAGTATTTACTTAAGTTGAACTCAATTATTGATGATGGATTCTTTATTTGGTTCTAAAAGGAGAGAACAAGTGTTTGAATTCAGAACTATGGCATGCTTGTGCTGGTCCCCTTGTATGTCTACCAACGGTAGGGAGTCGAGTGGTTTACTTTCCTCAGGGTCACAGTGAACAGGTCTTTCTCAAATTAGCTACATTAATTTTGAACAAATTGTTGCATATATTAGTATTTAGTCAATTGCTGATAGTTACCATTGGAATTGAGTGTCAGGTTGCGGCAACAACTAATAAAGAAGTCGATGCTCACATACCTAATTACCCGAACTTGCCACCACAGTTGATCTGTCAACTCCACAATGTCACAATGCATGTAGGTTCTTTGTTCATATTCTATGTTTTCTTATGAATTAGTGTTGTGTAAGTTGTAATATAGGCTTACGAGGGAATGACGATTCCTAGGATTTTAGGCAGATGTTGAAACGGATGAAGTATATGCTCAGATGACATTGCAACCCTTGACACCGGTATTTTCTGAACGATGCAATAAAGCTCATTTACTTTTACTGATTTTCCTATATTTTTGTGTGAATCGGGGGTGACAAAATATTCTGTTGCATTTTCAGCAAGAACAAAAGGATACATATCTTCCTGTTGAGTTGGGTATTCCTAGCAGGCAGCCTACTAATTATTTTTGCAAGACACTTACTGCAAGTGATACCAGTACGCATGGCGGCTTTTCTGTTCCTCGTCGTGCTGCAGAGAAAGTTTTCCCTCCTTTGGTGATAACTGGTCCACTGTCTTGTATTTCCATGCCACTCTGATTCTAAGTCTGATGTTATTCTCATTTTCTTCTGGTCCTCAGGATTTCTCACAGACACCACCCTGCCAAGAATTAATTGCGAGGGATCTGCATGACATTGAATGGAAATTCAGGCATATTTTCCGAGGCAAGCTTCGGAGGATCCTTTCTTTGCTATGTGTAGATTTACGCCGTGTTAAGTGTATTTGGCTTTAATCTAACAGCTGGTGGTTCTTTAAGTTTGCACAAAAAATAGATATAGGCACACTTAGATATATGTTGTCACTTAGCAGTACTTTAGTTTAATCCTCTAAAGTACTTGCTTGTTTAGAGTCTTTTTCAGTTTTGGGTACTTTCTTTACATGAATGTACTGTAACAACACGAATGATGGTGTGTCTAGAGAGGATCTTTTAAAGCATTTTTTCTTTTCTTTTTTGAATCAACCGGACTGAAAGCAAAGAGAAAAAAGAAGCAGGATAGTGTCTGGTGTGTAGGGCTGATGTTTTGTCTTCTGCGTTCCCTTACACTGTAATATCCTTATGAAGGATTAGAGTTGTGATTATAATTATGGAGGATTGACAATCTGTTATGTAGTCATAGAGTTGTTATTCAGTGGGCCGTGGGTGAGATGGTATGGAAGCTATCTCCTTTTTTTGTGTAAATGTGAAATTCAAGTTGGAACTAACGTTTCTATTTAAGGTTCACATTATGAGTTAGGTAACCTGAGCAGGATAAAGTAAATCATAAATGTACTTCAAATGATTTTTTTTATAAAAAGGTTAACAAAATAACAGGCTGAATCAAATAGATTTGTGGATGGCCTAGAATGGGGGTAGTTATAGAATGAAGAAGCAGGTCAATTATTTCTATTAACCCATCTATCTCCAAATGTCTGCACAGTTTCAGTGTGCAAGAGTATTAAAGAGTTCAATTTCCAGGTTATATTGGTGGTGAAAGAACATTACTCTTATATTTACTAGATTTGTACCACCAATGACAACTATGCCTTAGTCCCAATTCCCGAACAAATTGGGGCTTTATCATGAATTGGTTTGTTTTACGCTGGTTGCGAACCTACCACGCCACTCCTCCTTTATCCCGGTTTGGGACTGACATTGCGAGAGAGATTTGCACCAGTGCTTCAAAATTAATTGTTTAATTTATCTGAATTCTCGGTACATATAAATGGTGCATGGATTATTGTAGTCTTTAGACTTCTGCTATAGTTTTTGGACATCCAAATGAAAATGGTTTCCAAAAATGGTTCAGAGTTCTTGGCTGTGTGCTCTTAAATTCTCATTTCTTTAACCTTATTATGGGACTGTTTCTCTTGTCATCCTAATCCTGTTCCCTTGTCATTCTTGGTTTGTTTGTTGGTTCATTTACTGGATATACTAGTGAATACTGATGTCCCTTAGAAGCATGAGCATAATGCATATGAAATTAAATAATGCTGAAATTTGTTCATATTTTTCTGTCTATGTATGTAGGACAGCCTAAGCGGCATCTTCTGACGACTGGCTGGAGTGTGTTTGTTAGTGCCAAAAGACTTGTCGCTGGAGATTCAGTTCTTTTCATCTGGTAGTTTAAGTTTTTTTATCAACATATCTGAGTAATTTTACACTGTAGGAATTGCAACTAAGTGCCTTGTTATTCCTTGAGGCTCTCTTAAATGGTTACTCATTGTTTCGGTGTCAGGAATGAGAAAAATCAGCTTTTTTTGGGAATTCGTCGTGCAACTCGACCTCAGACTGTGATGCCATCATCTGTTCTGTCTAGTGACAGCATGCACATTGGATTACTTGCTGCTGCTGCTCATGCTGCCGCTACCAATAGCTGTTTCACTGTTTTCTTTAACCCAAGGTGGTGCTGAATGATTGTCTGCTCCTTGTTTTTTTTAAAAAAAAGTCATATCCTTTCTGCTATTTGAACTAACACTTATCGCATCAGGGCTAGCCCATCTGAGTTTGTTATTCCACTTTCAAAATACATCAAAGCTGTTTATCACACACGTGTTTCTGTTGGAATGCGTTTCCGGATGCTATTTGAGACTGAAGAATCAAGTGTTCGAAGGTACGGAAGTATTTGATCTTAGATCTCATCCTTGTTTCCTTCGTGGTTAGGCTTTCGTCAATCTCTTTTGTTTAGACAAGTGCATATAGCTACTTAAGTACTCCCTCTGTCCCAATTTACGTGACACACTTTTCTTCTGAATCTGTCCCAAAAAGAATGTCACCTTTCTATAATTGGTAACAATTTAACTTTTGAGTTCCCCTTTCATCCATAATAAAATGATTTATAGCTACAAATATGGTCAAGGAGTGGTTTAGACCACAAATTTCAAAAGTCTTCTTCTTTCTTAAACTTTGTACCAAGTCAAATGGTGCCACATAATTTGTGATGGAGGGAGTAGCATATTAGTTTCTTGTTGATGGATCTGAGGCACTTTTTGATACTTAACATAAGTGGATCTTTGATCTGGCTCCTAAACACAGATGAGTGTTTTTTTTGGATGCGGCTCCTTTGTTTTGTCAATAATTTCTAATAATGTAGGGAAAGGTGATTTAAGATGAAGGTGCAAGTTTTGCCTTGTTGCTTCACTTTTTACTCATAATTTGCATATCTTGTTTAGTCTAGTGCTTGCAACAAGTAACACTAGAGTATAAACTGGGCCAACTCAGTGGTTAGTACATGTATATAAACCAATTAAATTGGAATTCCATAGCTGAGAATGGGATTGTGGCTATAATTGAAATTTGAGTGGCAAATTGTGTGTCAGGTTTCTCTTCTTATATGTGGATCTGATACTTTTCAGGTACATGGGCACAATTACTGGCATTGGTGACTTAGATCCAGTTCGCTGGGCCAACTCTCACTGGCGGTCTGTCAAGGTAAATGTGTTTTAGCTCTGTCATAGTTTTTACTTTTTATCATTTTTATATACGATTCTTTTGAAGTCATAGCATTTAAAACTTGTTGCTCGGACTCTTCAAAAATGTCATCGGGCGTGTGTTGAATCCTTCAAAAGTAGTGTATTTTTGAAGGATCCGATAATGGTGAGGCAACATTTTTGGAGAGTCCGAGCAACTTAGTTTAAAATGCCTTCTATGCACATATTAGGTTTTACTTGTATATTCATATTATTAGGAAATTCAAATTTTTTAATAGAAAATCTTTTCAACTGATTTTTCTTCTCCCACTTTCTTTTTCGCTTGATTTTCAGTCATTGATGTTGTCATGTTTCCGTGGCACTAATTTTGATCATCTTCAATTTGTGTTGGCATGCACTAGCTTTGCTTATGTTAAACTAGCTATTACTTTTACATTCTTGTCCTAGATCCCAGTTTTATTTTATTCTATTGTTTACTATAAAAATATACTTATACTTTTCTACGTTGCTATACTACTTCGCACCCCACCTCTCTCTCTCTCTCTCTCTTGTGCAAGAAAAATACACCTCTGAATTGCTACCTCTTTTCCTTTTCCTGCGGTTGATACTTCAATTTTAAAATATGCCTAAGTTTTTCCACAAGAATGATGACATACTTGCATCAGAACTCATGGTTCTTTTGCTGGCAAAGATTGTAGATTTTGTTGCCTAATTAGGAAGACTTTTACTTCACCAGCATCAAATGCTTATCTATCAGCTATTCAAATACATTGAACTTTTAATAGTTTAGGCGCTAAGTGATTTTCGTTTATTTTATCAAATCTCCAAGCTTCTTTACTATGTCAAGTTGTTTCTCCACAAGGTTGTCTAACTTTGGTGCTATGTTCATTAGAGTATAGAACTTGTTTGTCTCAGAACTCATGTAGCAAATGCAGAAATCAGACTATCTTGCTTTGCTTTTACCACCATTCATAGGGAAATTACAAATTTACGATTGTACTATTGTTATATGTTCGTAAACAATTATTCTATGTTCGCAGATATCTATTTACAAAAGAAATTTTATGAAATTGTAGGTTGGTTGGGATGAGTCAACGGCAGGCGAGAGGCAACCTAGGGTTTCCCTATGGGAGATAGAGCCTTTGACTACTTTTCCAATGTATCCATCTTTGTTCCCTCTTAGGCTAAAGCGGCCTTGGTATCCAGGAACTTCATCTTTTCAAGGTATTTTGCGTACTCAATGTTATGCTGTTAGGAAAGTGAAGCTGTACAATCCTGAGGTTTCCTTGTAATCCCTCCGTTTCAATATGTTGTCTTACTTTCCTTTTTAGTCTGTTTCAAAAAGAATGCCTCTTTCCTTTTTTGATAACTCTTAAATTTTAACTTTTCACATGGCATGTTTAAAACCACAAGATTAAAGTGCATTTGGGTACATTGTACACATCTTTCGTTTACGACCACAAGATTTATTAGTCTTTTACTTTTTAAAACTCCATGCCAAGTCAAAACTAGACGAACAATTTTAAACGGAGGGAGTACTGTTTGTTGAGAAATATGTAAAATCCATTGTCATCCAGATGGCTCTTCTAAGAAGGAAAAAACCATTTTTTAGCAGTATCAGTTATTTCATTATTTGAACTTTCAGCTAATTTGTTTTCCCATGGTCTATTATGAATATTTGCCGTTTGTTTTTTTTCAGAAAATAACAGTGAAGCTATTAATGGAATGGCATGGTTGAGAGGGGAAAGTAGTGAGCAAGGACCACATCTACTGAATCTTCAGTCTTTTGGTGGCATGCTCCCCTGGATGCAACAAAGAGTTGATCCGACAATGCTCCGAAATGATCTTAACCAGCAGTATCAAGCTATGCTGGCTAGCGGTTTGCAAAATTTTGGGAGCGGAGATCTGATGAAACAGCAACTGATGCAGTTTCCGCAGCCCGTCCAATATGTTCAGCATGCAGGCAGTCTTAATCCTCTCCTGCAGCAGCAGCAACAACAACAAGCAATGCAGCAGACAATTCATCAGCATATGTTGCCTGCACAAACTCAAGATAACCTTCAAAGGCAACAACAGCAACACGTTAGCAATCAGACAGAGGAGCAATCTCATCATCATTCTTACCAGGAAGCATACCAAATACCAAACAGCCAGCTCCAGCAGAAGCAACCATCAAATGTTCCTTCTCCATCATTCTCAAAGCCAGATATAGCAGATCCAAGCTCCAAGTTCTCGGCATCCATTGCTCCATCAGGCATGCCAACAGCGCTGGGTTCTTTATGTTCAGAAGGAACTAGTAACTTTTTGAATTTCAATATACTTGGTCAGCAGCCTGTGATCATGGAGCAGCAGCAGCAGCAGCAGCAGCAGCAGCAGAAATCTTGGATGGCAAAATTTGCGCATTCACAATTGAACACGGGCTCCAATTCACCCTCACTCTCTGGATATGGGAAAGATACTTCCAATTCACAGGAAACATGTAGTCTAGATGCCCAGAATCAATCTCTTTTTGGTGCTAATGTTGATTCTTCAGGGCTTCTCCTCCCGACAACTGTGTCTAACGTCGCTACTACATCAATTGATGCTGATATATCCTCTATGCCACTAGGGACTTCTGGATTTTCGAATTCTTTGTATGGTTATGTGCAAGATTCTTCTGACATGTTGCATAATGTAGGGCAAGTTGATGCACAAACTGCGCCCCGTACATTTGTCAAGGTGCTAGTTCTGTTGTGTATGTTATGCATTTCATTGTTGCTTTATTGCATATTACTAAGATATGGATAATATTTTTTATTTATTTTTGCAGGTTTACAAATCAGCATCCCTTGGGAGGTCATTGGATATCACTCGATTCAATAGCTATCATGAGCTACGACAGGAACTGGGACAGATGTTCGGGATCGAAGGGTTTCTTGAAGACCCTCAAAGATCAGGCTGGCAGCTTGTATTTGTTGACAGGGAGAATGATGTCCTTCTCCTTGGAGACGATCCATGGGAGTAAGTACCTAATTAACCAGAAGGCTTTACATTTTGACTCTTGTACTTCGATTATCATATTATTTTGTTGTAGTTACTGCTAAACATGTTTTGTTATGCTTTCACTTCCATTACTTCATTTTGGATTGTTTTTCCTTGGCTATCGGAAACAGCCTCTCTACCTTTGAGGTACGGGTAAGGTTTGCGTACACTCTATCCTCCCCAGACCCCACTTTGTGAGACTAGACTGGGTACATTATTGTTGCCTTACATTTTGACTCTGCTCCAAAAATTTTGAATCTGATGGAACGAACAACTTTATGCTTCAAGTCCTTGTACTACTCACAGCATCATTGGGTATTCGGTAGTGATAGCTGATTATATATCAATTCTAGTACCTTTGTCTGAATTTTTTGTTCTGTTAAAAAAAATGGTTTTTTACCATCTTTCAACTCCAGTTATTTTCTTTTTTCGAACTGCTTTGAAATGCTTCTCCTTGAGTCGAGGGTCTATAGGAAACAACCTCTCTACCTTCCAAGGTAGGGGTAAGGTCTGCGTGCACACTGCCCTTCCCAGACTCCACCTATGGGATTACACTTGGTATGTTATTGGCTTTTTACCATCTTTTGTTCAAACCAAGACATGATATTTTTTCAGGGAATTTGTCAATAATGTTTGGTACATCAAAATTCTTTCACCCGAGGATGTGCAGAAACTGGGGAAGGAGGAGGTTGGATCCCTAAATCGCGGTCTACCTGAAAGGATGAGCAGTAATAATAGTGCTGATGGTCGAGATTTCATGTCCGGACTTTCATCTATAGGATCACTCGAGTACTGACTGTTGTCATCGTTCGATAAACCAAGTGTGGTTCACCAATTCTCTGCTTACCAAGAGCTCGGCCTAGTTAATCCGGTCTCGTTTCTAAGACACTGTTCTTTATGTAGTAAAGTAAAGACTTAATCCCCATCTGTCATTTGTATTACAATGCTATTTGTATTAGTTATAATCTTAATCACTGTACTGAGGCTCAGGACACATGTGATTTAGACTAAGAATCTTGAGTTGTAAACTTGTTAATGCAGCTAAACTTTTGCGAGTAAATTCCCTTTTTCGAAAAGGTTTCTCCAGAACCATGTCCGCGAAATGCTAGTACTATGCAGCTGCTTTAAAGCCAGCGTGGTTGGATGAAAGAGATATTGGTGAATATCACATATGATCGAGAAATGTGTATTTATAATCACATGAAAACCATGAAAGCGAGTTGATAAAGAAAAGGTAGATCCTAAAATAGTGAAGGATGGTTGATAACATTGCATTACTAGAAAATCCCTCTTTTTAGAAGTAAGATACTCATTATGCTCTTTGTCTAGTTAACTCGTAACAAAATGTTAGACCAATCTCAGGGCTGACACAATCAAATTGGTTGATGAAAAGGGAACCCTAGTGAACAAGCACTCCCACCTCAAAAGCGGTTATTGAAGAACTGTCAGGTTGTCGAGGACACATCTGAAGAGGAGGCGGGCCTTCTAGGTCGACCACCCTACACACTAATGGATCTCTGATTTATCATAATTTGCATGTTAGGAATATAAGGAGATATAAAAGACAGGTATATTAGTCCAATCTCTCTTGACAGTTGACACTAACATATGTTGGTATTGGACAAATGAGTACGACTAAATTTGGATTCACGCTGAAAAGTCTCACATTCAGGGGGTAAAGCGCTCTCTAACAAAGACAACTCCGTACCCAAAAGGACTCGAACCTGAGACCTCTGATCTGGTTAAAGATGAAGAAGTACTTACCACTTCACTACAACCCTTGTTGGTCTTTCTTGAACTGGTCTTACTCTTGGGGCTTGTTTGGTATGCTGGACCAACATAAGATAATTTTGAGATAAAAAAATTAGTACAACCTTATCTCTTGTTTGGTTACTAATCCTGGTATAAGTTATAGCAAGATCAATAATTAGTAACGGAATAAATTTTTCTATTATACGTTGGAATAAGAGTCCCAAGATTAGTTAATCTAGAATAAAATAATAAAAATGACAAAAATACCCCCAAAGTCCCTCAACCCTTTTTCTACTAAGGTGGAGAATACTTATGTAAACGAACAACTTCTTTTTAGAAATTATGCAATACATGTCATTTTTAATACAACAAATCAAACAGTCAAACCGCAGAAGGAACAATGTATAGGATGGAATTTAACATAAAAGGCTGAGAAATATATACATGAGCTGCTATTCTTGTCATTACACAATAAGCAAAAAAAATATCTTAGTGGCCTTAAATCAAGCTATTGCTATCTCTACTTGCTTTGATATTCAATACTGTTGTTCTCTGAACTGTACTGAGGAGTTGTGATGGATATTGTATCGACGATGCTCGATGAATCTATGTCAATTGGAACCATAGAAGGCCATACAAATGATGGTTTGAATGGTGGTACTTGTGGTGCTGGTACTGATCCTGATATAACTTGAACTATAGTTTGTGTTTTAGGCCTTTCATTGGCAATTGGATGGGAGCAAGCCAGAGCAAGTAGTAACAATCTCTCTGCTTCTTCAACCACGTATTGATCCTCGAGCCTCTTGTCAACAGCTTCAAGGATTCTCCCATCGCGATGCAAGAACCAAACCCAATCAAGAAAGAGTTGAAAGCCATTAACTTTAGTTCCAGGCCTTTGGCAACATATTAGCTCCAACAACACAGCTCCGAATGCATAGACATCAGAATGTTGAGTTGCTTTTCCTGTGTGGAAGCATTCTGGCGCGATGTATCCCATCGTGCCAAGTACACCTTCAGCTTCATCAGCATATGAGGTCTTTTCGTTGTCAATTGCTCGTGCTAATCCAAAATCACCTAAACGTGCATTGAAGTTTGAGTCGAGCATGATGTTGTTTGCCTTGAGATCGCGATGGACTACCTTCTGCTCGTATTCGTTGTGAAGATAGTGCAGAGCTGACGCGACTCCTGATACAATGTTGTACCTCACACTCCAGCTGAGTGGCTCTTTTTCTTGCCCTGATGAGAAGAGATGTTTGTCCAGGCTACCATTTGGCATGTATTCATATACAAGTAGTAGCTTACCATGCTTATGGCTCCATCCTGTCACAATAATATGCATGTGATTACCATATATATACACTGAAAGCGTAAAAGAACTTTTATACCATTACCTGCAGGTCACCTAAATGATAACTACATGCAACATTTAGGTTACGTTCTCATTAGAAGGTAAAGGAGGTTCAAAAATTACTTTAGATCACTTGAAATTGTTAGTGCAACAACAATAACAACAAATTCAGTGAAATCCTACAAGTGGGGTACGTCTGACAAAGGTAAGATGTAAATATCCTTATTCCTATCTTTATAAGGCAGAGAGACCGTTTTCGGTTGACCCTCGACAACTCTCCTTCTTTATTCAATCTTGAGACCGACAATGTGAGCGAGATCACACTGATGACAGAGTTGAAATTGTTATTAGTAGATATACATATAGGCCAAATTATGACTACAATAATAATGATCTATGAATTGATGCAGCCTTACTCCTACTCTTATGGGATAGAGAATGGTGTTTCTGAGTGATCCTCAACAACCCTCCTTCTTTATTCGGATTAAGGACAGACAATTTGAGCGAGCTCACACAGATGCAGTTAAAATTGTTAATGCATATATAAGCTAAATTGTTACTACAATAATAATAATCTATAAATATATCTTATCAATACTATTTTGAGGATATCAAATCTTTACAAGGCAAAAAAAGTTGGGTTGTATGTGTTCCAATCAACTTTTTTGTAGGACCTAATTTTGGAATATATGGACCTCTCTCAATTATGATGACATGTTGTAGGGTTACAATCTTAGTCTTAATTGGAGTTGAGTGCATTTTGAAGCAATTGTCCAATTATATTATATTAATATTAGAAAGTACCAAACTTATCATAATAGGTGACATTTGAATGAAAGTGATTTTCAAAGACAGGAAGCTTCCCTACAAAAAAAAGTTTGTTCAAACAATGATTCAAATTTAATCGAAACAAAAATACTAGACAATTTTTTTCATATAATTAATTTAAATGATTAGAATTACTCGATATTTATACCGAAGCTAACAAAGAACAAAAGAGTGTGGGACCCTATGTTTGAAATTGGTGGTATAGAAAACCAAAAAGACAAAGGAAATGGAATCAGTGCTCTTCTGTCTTCCAGCTAAGAATTTAATATTTATTACTTTGGATTTTTCATCAAGAGGGCACTAAAATTATTAGTTAGTAGGTCCTCCAAGAAACTTTGGATTATATTTTAAAAATTCAAGTTAAAATTAATCACCCCTACCTCATTTTATATTTAGTAGTTAGTAATTATTTTTGAAATTTACAGATACCTCAAATATGACATATAAATAGAGATTATGTTTTAAAATATAAATAAGGGGGAAATAATTAAATATCTTTACTAATTAATGTTTTCTTAAAAGGCGTATAAAAATATATAAATAAATATTTTGAGACAAAAAAGTATATGTTTATCACTTTCAAACTATTGTAAAAGGTACATGAGCACACCATTTTTGACACTTGCAAGTTGCATCAAAGATTTTAACTTTTTTCACTTATCTTGTAGTAGTTGGATATAATTATTGGGACCATTTTCAAGATGGAGATGGGCCTAACATGAGTCAAAATGGAACTCCTTAGAACACAAGAAAATATTCTTGGTACCATAATTAATAAAATTTAATTTAAGCTTTCGTTCAAAACGAAGATGGATGAACATGCACTTGTGGTCGAAAGTTATGAAATTTGAAAAAAAAACATGAAACAAATCACTATGTTGAAGAAGGAGAAGAAATACGACTCAATAAAAAAAGTCCTATCAAAACGACTAAAGGAACAAAGAAATGACTATGAAGATGGATGAACATGCACTTGTACTTGAAAGTTATAAAAAATATGAAAGCGGTTACTATGTCGAGGAAGGATAAGAAACACGACTCAATAAATAAAAAGTGTCCTCAAAACGAAGAAATGATTATGTGTAAAACCTGTCTCTTTTTTCAGTAGAATCTTAGTAGATTTTGCTACCTATACATAGAACATGAATAAAATTCCAATGACATGACGAATCTATCAACCAATTACGCTTAAACTCAATAAGCATATATATCAAAATCTTAAGATCATAACATTCCTCCTTTATCTGAGCTTGAACAAAGAACAAATACTCAAAAAAAAGCATAAAAAGTAAAGAGTTCAAAATACTTACCAAGTAATTTGACAAGATGTTTATGCCTTAAACGGTTGATAATTGTCAACTCAGCCAAGAAATCATCTTGACCCTTGATACTTTCCCTAGAAAACCACTTCACAGCAATTTCCAAATTTTCACCAACTAAATACCCTTTGTACACAACTCCAAATCCACCTTCACCAAGTTTATTCTTTTCATCAAAATTATTAGTAGCTTTTTTCAATTCTTTAAACTCAAAATCCCTAGGCATTCCAGGTAAACTCTTTAATGCCCCTAATATATTAGATTGTGACCTATCATCCCTTTTTTTCTTATAAAAAAAATACCCAAAATACCCTGACAAAATCAATAAAACAACCAATACTGATACACCAACACTTAGACTTATTATTAGTACCTTTTCTTGATCATTCTTTTCTTGAAAATACTCAACTGTTAAATTCCATCTCAACACACAATTCAACTGATTGAAATGTCCTGTTGAAGCTGAAAATCCAAAATATGATTCTTGCTTTACAAATTCTCTCAAATCAACATTGTGTGTTAGTATTGGTACTTTTGGCCTTGTTGGTGTTGTCCCATTTTTCGTCATTTGTTCAATAATGTACACATCAAGTACTTTCTTGAATCCATCATAGTGTATCCATATATTGTAAAATCTAGCACCTATTGGAGCTAGTTCAATTCCATGTGGTGTTAAAGGTTCCGACTTAACGGATTTAACACTGTTTATATCAATCCCAATATGGTTATCATCAATATCGAAATCTTGTTTGAATGTATCTAGCTCAATCGCGATTATTTTGTTGGATAATTCACCATCTGTTGTAGCATTCGTTAGGCCCAAATACTGGCCCTGGCTATTTAGTGGCAAATCAAAATTTGGACATATCAAGAAAGCTAGACCTTCAGCTGGTGTTTGGTTATCCGGTCTATATATGTTTACTAGGAATGATGTGTTGAATGACGCTGTCCTTGAAATATCATTGTCTACCCATAGTTTGAAAGGCCGTTTTAATAGGATTCTGCCTGAATTATTGAACATTTGGTAAGCAGAGGAAGCTGTGTCAGGGGTGATTTGAAGTGCTTGATTGCTTATTTGTGCAGGATGTTTGATTTCAAGAAGGGGGACATATGTATGATCAAAAGGGTCACCATATTGTTGGTCAAATGTTATGATTTTGGCTTGTGATATGAGTTGAAAACAAGAGAAAAATATGAAGATTTTTGGTGTCAAAAATTCCATATTGTGTAGTGAAAAGAAGTATAGAGATGTAAGGGCTTTTAATAAGAGGAAGGGTCAATAAAAGAAGCTATTTTGAAGCATGTTGGAGTAGTGTAAAATGAGATATTATTGGAGGAGATATACACAATTATGATAATGATAATATATGGTAGTGGGAGGGTTGAAGTTTGAAGTTTGAACTTTGAATATGTTTTTTTTTTTTTTTGGTCTTTCATTGCACTACTAGGAACTTGCCACCTCCCTAACCCAACCACCCACACTAATTTTCCTCAAATTTGTTTGGTATTTTTGTTGTAATGGTCAATATTTTTTTTTGGGAAACTTGACGTAACTGATAAAGTTGATGTCATGTGAGCAAGATATTATGTGTTCGAATTGTGGAAACAATCGAAATGTAGGATAAGACTGCTTACAATAGAGATCCTTGTGATTCGATCCTTCCTTGAATCCCGTGCATAAGGAGAGTTTAGTACACCTTGAAGGAGAGTATTAATGTAACTGGTAAGGAGATCACATCTTCAAGCTGTGAAAACAAGCTCTTACAAAAATGCAAGATATGATTGGTATAATAGACCTTATAATTTGACTCTTTTCTGAACTCTACACTTAGCAGAAGCTTAATAAATATGAGATGGTTTACTAACAAAAAGAATATGAATGATTTTTAAAGTATAACAATTGCTAAATTAAAAAAAAATTATGCAGTAGAGTAAAAAATAATTTTTAACATTTTTCCTATTTTTTATATGGTATATGTCCTGTTATTCATCCTTTTTCCTGCTAATATACAAAGAAGTTGCCACCTTCCTTCCTTTTGTCTTCTTATTTGATAATAATGGATGGTATTGATGGCCATATCCAAATTTGGATATATTTATTAGTATTTTATTCTGAAATATTAGTACGTAATCGAATATTATCATACATTTTTTTATTTATGTGTATTACTATCTGTTATTTTATTTGATTTATGTCTTGCTTTCTTATTATCATATTTTTTTGTTACTTACTTCGAATTTTTTTCATGAGATGATTATTCAAAAGTTTTCATATTTTTCTAAAATTTTTATATGCATAATTTTGAATAAATTAGAACGAAAAAAAATATTAAATTCTCACCAACACATTCAAAATTAGTCACATGAATTATTATCTCAAAGGCAGCTCCCATAGCCCAGTGGCCTGGTCACATATAGTGACGTGAATAATTAACGGTTGAATATCTTTAATTCATCAAAATATTATACAATATATGTAAGTTAAAAATTATTTTTTATATATAATATACTAAATTTTAAATATTTTTAATAAAATTTTTGACTTTATCACTACTACTACTGTAGCTTAAGAACTATAAAAAGAATTCAGATTTCCCACATGCAAGCTCAGTACTACTTATTTTATTATCACAAATTCCTATAAGAATATTATACTATATAGTTTTAAAGTTTCTGAAGAATTATATTGAAATTTAAACCCCCAACACGATTTAATCAAATTTAAATTTCGTTTTTGGGTTTTGATTGTTAAAAAACGTACATCGAATAACGAATCAAACTGATTCAATTTGGTTTGATTTGATTCGACATTTTTAAAATGATTGTTCGATGCGGATGAAAAATAAAATAGGATAAAATCAAATTATAAAATTTTAAATAAGAGTTCAATTCTTCAGTGCACCAACGTTTTGAGACTCTTATAAATTACACCAAACACTGAACAACGGAATTGAACTTTTGAAAAAAATATCAATACCAAATCAAAGAACCGAATTAGTTCAATTTGATTTTTCGATTTTGAGTATTTATGCCCACCTTGCTACGAATATATGCAATTAGAGAACTTTGTGTCTACGCAATGATTAAAAAAGGTTTTTTGTCGAAGAAAAAGACAAAAGGATTACATAAAATTAACAAATAAATTAGAGTAATAAAAGTAGCTTTCAATTGTACAAAAAGGTATGTGTATGCATTTAAATATTGTAAATAGTAGGATTAGGTTTCTTTTATTAGTGTGAATATTGATCATGCATCATGACCCTGCTGAGCTAATTAATTAATTCTTTTAGGTATAATAAAATTCCATATGGACCACAAGGATGTTGATTAATTTGGAGTAACTTGTATTTAAAGAAATAAAAAGGAGAAAATAAAGTATGAAGTGACATAATAATTATGTACTCCATAAAAACCTTCAAATTACTTTTCTTATCTTTTTGGCTGTCTTTTTAAATTTTATTTATTCTTGGATAATAATATTTTTGATTCCTCAATTATTTCTGGGGCATAAGAAAACTCATATTAAGCAATGCTCCATCATCATTGGTAGAAAGAGGAGGCACGTTAATGAAAATTAATCCATCTCAATCTACTAACAATATTGTTTTGAACATACAATATAAAAAAATAGAAAATCGTTCGCTCGAAGAAAACCTTTTCAGAGCCTAGTACAAACCAATCAAGTCATCTCTCCTTAAATGAGTCGGTTATGAAATAACCTTTTAGGCGATTTTCTTAATTTTTAAGGACTTTTTGGTAAGTACACTTTATAGTATTAACAAATTTTAATTGATCCTTCTAATTGAAATATAAATTTTTGGTCTCATTATGTAGGAAATATGTCGTGTATGAACTATTTTTAGAAGTATACTACTTCCAAATATGGAATACAAACTTAGTGAATAAATAATGGAACAGTTAATAATTCTCGAAATTAATGAATATTCACAAGAAAACGGATCAAAAAGGCACATTTTCACTAATTAAAAATCAAATATACTTGGTCAATATTACAAAAATTAAAATTAATTTTTTTTAATAATTAGGGAACGAAAAATATTATTAGCCCTTTATTTGTTATTGTTTGAGAAACAGGGAAAAAGAAGAGAATGTGAAAGTGAATTTTTAATATGCTATTTGTTTAGTTGTTTTCTCTATCTCTGTCTCTCTTTCTTTGGTCCTTTTTTCTTTTGGGCCAAGTTTTGCTTTGACATTTGGTTAACACAGTACATTATATAAGAGATAAGTATTACATCAATTAGTTAAGTTGTATCTATATAAAATTAGCCAAAACATAGGGTATGTTTGGTACGTAGGAAAATAGAAAATGATTCTTGAGAAAAAAATGAGTTTAATTTATTCCTTATTTATCAATGTTTGATGAGTAAGCAAGAAAATATTTATCCCAAAAATATAAATATGCCCTTTAACTTGGCTTCGGTTGACAGTTATGTCCTCCAACTTTGGGTGTGTACAAGTAGACACACGCGTCCTACGTGGTATAGTACACGTAGGACACAAAATTGTCATGTACGACGTCATGTAGGACGAATGTGTCTATTTGTTCATTTTTTTACAAGTTTAAGTGTCTACTTGTGCACGCTCAAAGTTAAATGTCATAGTTACCGGCTGAAGCCAAGTTAAGGGTTAGGTTATGTATTATGTCAAATATTTATATGTATTTTAACAAAATACTATAACGGACTGGGAAGCGAGAGTGGAGGTTCAGGGGCGGAAGAGGTGGGATCAATGGCGGATCTATTAAGGCATGTGGGGGTGCCACGCCACCCCCGAACTTCGATGGAAACTCTATATATACATAGGTATATATATATAATATTTATATTTATATAAAGCGTGCCACCCACAGAACAAAATTGGCTTGTGGTGCCACGGTAGGAGGGCAACTTTAGAAGGCTGATGTTGCGGGTTCGAATTCCATTTGTACCTATTTTTTTAAGAAAAAGGAAATTGCTGCACACGTTCTTTTAAGAAAAATTAGAGAACTAAAATTAATTTATATCGAAAAGATGAATAATTTAATCAAATATAAAATTAATTTAATCGATAAGTCTATTTGGCACCCACGGAGTCTAAATCCTGGATCCGCCACTGGGTGGGATGATTACGGATTTGAGATTGGGGCATTAGGTGGATAGAGAGGAGATAATACATTTAGAATGTCACTTGTGAAACTTGTTTTTTTTTACTAAGTCATTTATTCGTTCAGTTTTACATAACTTAATTTTCTACCAAAATATTTTGATCAATTGAACATATAAAAAAAAAATTAATTTTTTTTTTCCTCCTTACCAAACTCACCAATAGAGTCAAAAAGTAGGAGGAGATTAATTGGTTCTATGTCTTAATCAAATTTACGCAATTGTTCAAGGGAAACTTTACTATTTCTTTTTTATATAAAGTAAAGTCACTATTAAAGAAAAAATCGACTGAAGAAATCTTCTTTTAATTTGTTCATCTCAGATGGACCACATGGGGAATTATATAAATATAAAGTTGTTAATTTTTTTTATTTTTTACTAAATTAAATAAATAAAATATAGAAAGTCTTGACGTAATTGGTAAAATCATTGTCATATTGCCAAGAGGGTCATGGGTTTGACCTATATGGAGATAGCCTTTTTGCAAAAATGTAGGATAAAGTAGCATATAATAGATCCTTGTGTTTCGATCCTTCCATCCAGACCTTGCGCTTAGCGGAAGCTTAAGCACCGAACTTTCTTGACAATTTAAATTTTAAATAAGATAATCACATCACACACTTTAATATGATATCTAAGCAAACAAAGATCCTAACTCGAGTCTCACCGTCGTACATTATTTTTAAAAAAAATTACATACTTGAATCATAAAAAAAAAAAAAACATACCCCTCACGTAAGAAAAAAGAGTTTTCTTTAATAAAAAGATAATATAAAATATTACCATAACTTTACCAAAAAAGTGTTACAAAATTAATGAGCATCTAGGACAATCACCTTCTAAGAAGAGTACTACTGCCTCTAGACATCAAAGATTCCACTTCTATTGATTATTAATTTGAAACCAAGAAAATAATTAGAATACGAAAAATAAAAAATAAAAAGGAAGTGATAGAAAAAAAGAGAAATAAACCTTTTTTTTAAAAAAAATACTTTGACTTTTAAGCAAAAGAAAATTAAAGTAGTTTCCACGATTTACAAGCCTTTAATAAATAAATAGTGCAATATAATGATACAAGAAATGACAAGTATAATAAGTACATCAATTGAACATATGTCTTGGTTGTTGAAGTTATAGAGCATAGAGTCAAACATAAAGATGATTTTTGGTGCATTTCTTGTCGACGCATCAAATAAGCGAGTTAGATTGAATTAAGATGAGTTAAAATATATTAATTAATAATAAATTGATTCATTACTTGAATTGGGATCATCTGAATCAAGATTCAAGATGGACAACATATTTATATAAAGAAAAAGAAAAAAAAACATATCGAACCAAAAATATCTTTTTTTAAAAATAAAATAAAATAAGATTTTTCATGTATCAATCTGAATTACATATTTAATCCAAATCAACACATTTTTTAGTTGAATTGAATTGAACAAATCAAAATGAATTAAATTATTAATAAATAATCGAATCATTACTGAAGAAAATAATTATTCGAAAGTAATTTTTAGTAGTATAAAGTGAAGACACTATTAATATAGAGTTGTAAGGTGGACCAAAGACTTTTTGTTGTTCATATTGTAAATGTAATTAGCTGATACTAATTCACATCTTCACTTTCTTCTAATTTAATATTTTCTTAATCTTTACCTAATGATGGATTAGAAACTTTGGCATAACACAATGATAGCTATTTAACAAACTTTTAAAAAAGTTAGTATGCACGTTGCAAATATTGCTAATTTTCAAAAGTGGATAAATTAATGATTTGAGCTAGTGAGCCAGATATTTGATTACTTTAATATTCAGAACAGGGCCGGCTCAACATTATTGGGGGCTTAAAGCAAAATTTCAATTTGAGGCCTAAAATATAAAAAATCTTTATATATGTATTAATTCAAACATTATTTTTCTTACACTATTTAGATGAAAGTTATTAGTATTTAATATTGTTTTTTCCAGTTATTAGTTTTAGGTAAGATTTTATCAACTCAACATTGAAAATATCCTTTCAGTGAGACAATTATTATATGAATTGTTAACATAATTCTACAAGTAATAAGTTGATAAATATTAAATATAGAACCATAGAATTTGACTCAAAAAGTTGATGACTTGGTATACCCCATTTTAATATGCTTGTAGTAATGCTTGAAAACTAAAATTTAAAAAGAAATAAAAAAGAATTTGTAAATTCACTTTGCTCAACACTTTTCACTATTAATTGTTATTTTTTACAAAGTACAAAAAATGTTAAAGTGGTTAAAATAATATATTTTTTAAAATATTCCTTTTATTATAAATAATCATTTTTTTGTATAAAATTTTTAACACATAATTTATTCTTGATAAAAATTTGGAGCCCCCAAAATTGGGGACCTAAGGCAAAAGCCTTATTTCTCAAAGCATAGAGCCAGCCCTGATTCAGAATGTTGTTTTTATTGTTGTTTTAAGTTCATAAACAACACAAATCCCTCTGGTTAAGAAGTAAATTACTTCCCGTGAGTTTTCAATATAATAAATTTTACCAGAATTTGAACTTTGGATACATGTATTCAGCGGATCTAGATACATGTATCTCAAATACAAGTGGTCAAAATTAGAAGTAATTTGTATCAGATACACTATATGTCTATATCTAAGTGGATTCACTTGTATCTGACTCTCTCCTATTTCCTTTCTCGCTCGCCTCTCTCCTATCTCGCTCAGTTCTCTCCTTATTTATCTGTATTTCAAAATGTATCTGGTATTTCAGATACAATATGTATCTGGTGTGATTTGCATGCTATCTCGCTCGCCTCACTCTCTATTTCATGGTGAAGAAAATACATGTATCTAAGTGTATCTGACTTGAAATATAATATGAAATTATTAATTAGTGAAACAATATGTAATTATTTCAAATTATAATTAGTTTTTTTGTTACTTTTATTTTATTTATTGCATTTTTTTGCCTTTTCCTATATGATTCCTTTAACAAATAAATCATCACCACATTTATTCATTATGCTCAAGTCAATCAACACAATATTTATATTTTGTCCATGAATATATATATATTTTCACAAATCAACCAAAAGAATGACAATTCAATGCACTAAGCCTTCGCTATACTCGAGCTTAGAAAAGGCATATAATCCGTTGTACACAATATAACCTTTGCATTTAAGTAACAAATTGTTTCCGCAACTTAAATCTATATGACCTCCTGGTAACACGACACCAACACTTAACGTTGTGTCAAGGCTCCCCTCTTGATCAGGACAAGATATACATGAAGTATGTCGACCAAAAGGTCAGAGCAACTGCTGCCACGGCATAATTCCAGAACATGATAACAGAACATTCAGTTTCACCAATTTCAAACAACTGTGTGATAGTACCTGCAAAAACTTCACTCATTAATCTCAAAGTTTTCGGAGGATTCGACACACACGACACAACATTTTTGAAAAGTCTGAGCGACATAGTTTATTAGAGAGTAAAGGGATATATATACTTCTCAACTTTGCAATTTAAAATGGATATACCTCTTGTTAAAAAAAATGGTTTATATTGAGTATATGCATCATTTTTCTAACGAGAGGTATATCCACTCTAAAGCACAAAGTTGAGGGGTATACTTAGAGATCAATGAGGAATATCATTGCTTGACGAACGTCATATGTTCGTCACTTCGCTCATCAATCTCGAGTGTTTGAAGGATCCGACACAATATTTTTGAAGAGTTTGAGCGACATAGTTGATTAAAACTTGAGATGAAATGAGGGATCATTACAAGTGAACTAAATTTACCTATAGCCATTGCAGGTGGAACTGCATATTGAAGCAGAAGAACAAAGTGATATAAAGGATCTGTTCCCACCATGCCTAGATTTTTTGCAACTGTAATAACAGCAACACCGATGATAGGCAAGATAACGAATCGAACAACAATGATCCCGAAAAGAAGCCAAATTCCCACTCCTGATCGCTTGAAACCTGAACGAGTACATATAAAGTAGTTGAAATGATGTTACAGAACAATGCAGAGGATTTCGAACGATATACAATTGTATAGGATACTAAGTTCGATATAATACTTACCTTTTAGAAGATTCGCGCCCATTATAATGGTCATGGATGGAATTGCTGCCTCCCTGCAGTAGATAAAATCGTGTAACCAAATGGCCGCGTTGAGAACCAAGAGAGTAATGATGGAAATGCTCAACATGCTAGGCCATGATTGAGTTTGCCTTTAGAGCTGAGGGTCTTTCAGAAACAAACTCTCTACCTCCACGAGGTGGGCCGGGGGGGTAAGGTGTATGTGCACTGTACCCTCCAAAGACCCTACATGTGGCGGATTACACTGGATATGTTGTTGTTGTTGTAACATTAGGGATTCGTTGGGTCAAGGGTATGGGCTTAGGTATGAGTTCGGTCAAATACAATAACTTTGGTTCAAACTTCGTATTTGTCTGAAGAAATCTATTTAATATGTATAAATTATTAATTTCTGTTGGTGAAGAGCTATGAGGATTTAGGCAACATGATATATGATATACCCTCCTACAAGTAACTCAAGTAGCATTAGAAAGAAAAAATTATTTGCATGAGGAATCATACCCTAGCAAAACAACAGAACTCTCAACGAAACGAAGTGGAGCACCAGAGCCAACCATGAAATTTTGGATGGGAGAGATTGAAGCAATGATAATGCCAATAACCTACAAGAAACGATAAGCCACGTATAAGGGAAGAACTGAACAAACATGCATCCATGAACCTAATTGGGACGACATTGTAATAACTAAGCAGTTAAGCACCATTGTCGTCATACCGTTGCAACTGTAGGTGGTCTGAAAAGAACACTCAGGTCGATATATTCCACCAACGACTTCACCTTCTTCTCAATGATAGTAGGTATCGAGACCTGTTATTTCGAGTTGTGAAGTGTTTATATTTGATTTTTCGAAACATCAAACAACTTAAAAAGTAATAAATGAGGATAAATCTTGATGAGAAGTAGTGGAACAAACTACAATTGTTATAACACTTTCTTGATTATTGATTACAAAAACGATTACATGAAACATCATACCAGCAGAGGTTCAGAATCTATTATTTATTCATATTTAGTAGATCTTTCAACACACACATATATATATAAACCAGACGAAAGAAAAGAGAAGTTAAGATATTTAATGACGTTACTGATCTATGTTACGCGGACTCTCCAAAACAGTTGGAGGATCTGACACTCACTCATCGACTTTTTCAGAGAGTCCGAGCAACACAGGAAGAAACCATTTCTTTTGTCACACCTTGTTATTTAACCATGTTACTCAAGCAAGCAAACGTTAGCCAGTAAATCCATTAGCACCATTAACTTGTAAAATGCTAAAGTACTACTTAAAGTCAATGTGATGTTACATATTTAACCGTCATCATTTCTGATAACATGAAGTTGCGATAGAAATAAGTTTGATAACACTGATTAATTCTCACAGAACGGTTATATGCTGATAAAGTGCACGGAAAAAACTTCGTCCCAAGAGAAGTTTCTCCTTAATTTTAAGGAAGTTATTTTCGCCTATACAATATCCGTATCATGGTGCATGAGATAAAATGAAGAAAATACCTTGGTTTCGTCCATGGATCCTTGGTAAATAAGCTCAGCTGAAACTTCATCACCTTTCGAGTTGCTACTTGGTAGCAATGTTTGTGTAGTACTATCCAAGGCTCGTTTTGACGTTTCACTGTGGTTATTTTCTCTTAATTTGGAGTAGGCTGAGACATCCCCGTCGTCCCTTTTTCCATATGCCCGTATGATATTATATACATACGACCAAATGCCAATAGCTCCTATCTGGAAACAGGATAATAAAATCAAGCTGAAGGTCATCACATCCAAGACGGATATTGTTTATGTTTTATCATGTATAGAATGAAGTTGTATTCAATACCCCCATAGAGAGGGATACATAGCCCATTCCATTTATCGAGCATGTAGATGAATCTCCAAACGGATTGTTTTTCTCGGCACAGATGGCTGGAATTATAATGACAGGCAAGTTCCCCATGTTTCCTGTCATGATCATTTTTCAGAAACTCGTGAGTATGAATACAGACTTAATGATTCAGAAGAAAAACTTGAAAAGTTTTAGGAAAATCCATTAGAAGATGTTACGGAATGTATATAGACTTTATTCTTGTAATGTACATAGCCATATTTAGGAAGTAGATTTGTAGGAATTCTTCTTTATTTATTTACAGACAAGTTCTTCCTATTCAATTATATGGTATCAGAGTCAAGTCCGTCTGGGACCCATGTTATATTGTTGACGCTCCAGTTGGCAGTCTGGGCACACGGGGTGTTAGAGTGGGTTAGAGCCACATTGGTTGGGGAATGAACTGATGGTCTACTTATATGGACTTGGGGCAATCCTCCTAATGAGATGGTTTACGGAGTTGAGGTAGGTTCAAGGGCCATGTCTCACAAAGAACATAAAAGCAACTAGATTTCCGAGATGGCACCTTTCTCTTGTTCTGTATATTTCATTTAGAGAGGCAAGAAGATTGGTCCGTGATACTATGATTACGTAGGTTCAATTTGTTGTCCCGAAAAGCTAGTTGGTTTCATCTTAGTTTACCCAAAATCTTAAGCTGATATTGCTGAGTGGTGAAGAAATCATGAAGAAACAATTTGTGTTTGAAGATCGAAAATTTATAGCGAACTAAAGGAAAACGACAAAATGCTGTTTATCTACCTCCCGCGCAACAGCCAATAACAAGGCCGTGCAAATGCTGAGGCGTTCTAGTGATTTTGACAAGTATCCACCCGAGAGCTGATCCAACAAGAAAGGTAATAAGAATACTCACGGGGACGAACCACCTGTACTTGAAACAAATGTACCAGAAACACAAGAAATGTTGAAAACTAAGGAAAATGTAAAAATGCATTTAAAAGAAAGGTGGAGAGACAAGAATGCACCTACAAAGAAAATAATCCCGTCTCTGTACTTGAACTGATGAGACCACTAGCACAAAGTGATGGAAAGAAGACGTAGAATACAAGCTGCCAAAAATAAAATAAAAACACAAGATCCTCTTTAGTCCTTGCAAGGTCGGTTAGACGACAAAACTACTCTGCTTCTTCTTTCCCCTTTTCTGTTTTCCGGTTTTCATTTTCTCTTTGAGGCAGTTAAATATTTGTTTGTCATGGAATATATAACAACTTGACGATAAGAGGAAAATCTAAATGGGTAAAATGCTATATATAACCACCCGTCTTTTAATTTCATCCTTAAATGTTGCTCACACTTTCAAAAATGTTGACAACTATGTGTCAGATACTCCAAAAGTTTACACAGGTGCAGCAACATTTTTGGACTTCCCGAGCAACCTAGCTTATAGGAGACTACCAATTCACACATATATTTCTGAGTGACACAAGCAGATAATTTAACATATTTGCAGAAATAAATAATAACTCTCGAAGCAGAATGTTTGAGCACATCACCATCCACACAGATAGGAATCAGCAGTATATAATAATATCTGATTGCATAATCTTTCATTTGCTTTTACCACTTTGAAATTTTATACGCGCAAGGAGGATTACATTAGCAGTCTCATGTTAACTTACATTGTTCAGATGGTGCCGTCCTTCTGCAGTCAAAATACTCACATGATCCAAGGCAAGATATAAGCCAACAACCGCAATCAACAGCGTTTTCAGAACAGGCATTAACGCCAGCAAAAACAATTCTTGAATGTTCATGGTAAATACTCTTCTACAACCTCAAAGAACCCCTCCTGCAAGTCTATATGCATCGAAAGATTAGGCAATAAAGTAACTTAAATCCGTAAACACTAATCATGTCCTTTTTCTCAAGCTCGGATTTGTTGAAGACATAATGAAGTAAATAAAAGTATAAATCTCTTAACAACTTAAGCTTTTAGATGAGATAACAGGATTCAACTGCAAAAACAAACATCATAAATCTCTTTTTCAAGTTAATAATTCGAAAACAATAAGATATTTCGAGAGGTTAATTACACCTATGATCACTAAACGTACTCACCAAAAACACAAAAACTAATTTTTTGCAACAGTAAAGTCACTAAAGAATATGATGGTTTGCACAGAAAGATTCAAATTGCCAAAAGTCAAATTTCTGGCACCCAAAAATTGGCATTTTCTAACAAAGAGCAAGTCTGGTGCACAACTTATTCTTTCATTCCTCGGGTTGATCTGGTCACTCAATTAATAGTTATTAACTTAGAAAGTCGTTTTCTTCGTTAAAGAAAATTGATATTATGAAGAAAAGTGACTTTCTGAGGATATGGAGAAAATCTTGTTGGGAGCGCCACCCCCGAATAGGCCCTGCAAAGCGCAATCCGAATTTAGTTGGAGCTCCAATGTGGGCTCCGGACACTGGGAAACAAAAAAAAACATCTGAAAAATTATCAATTGTTGATACAAATCGTCATACATTTTAGCTGCAACTACAACAAATAGCTCAAATTTTGCCTCTTTATGCAAGTAACTAAATAGAAAAGAACATTTTTTCCACAATCAATCAATCAACTATGTCTCAATCGCGAATTAAATACAATCAATTATATGGATCCACCATACATCTATTCCATTATATTTCTTTCTAGAAGATCCAAATAAACTAAATTCAAAAAATTTACACTTCTTGTAAATTGGACCATAAAAGCAATCCAATGGTGATGGAACTACAACTGATAGAGGCGGATTCAGAATTTAAAGTTTATAGGTTCAAGATTCTAGTCTTTTAAAGTTATTAAGTTCTAAGCTAATTTTTTCTACATATTCAAATGATTATTTAAATACAAACACAAAAACAAAATTTGGACAAAAACTACTGAGTTCAACCGAATCCGTTACCGAAACACACACAAAAAAGAGAAGATGAAAAGGAAGTGACTTACAAATTTAGAAACTGCTTCCCGCGCAAATCTTAACTTTCCCAAAATTGGTTTTAATTTTATGGAAGTTATAACAGAGATTTAAGAACTCTGTTTCAGAGATATATATATATATATATATATATATAGTATGACTTTGGACAGTTTCTGTAAATTAAACAAACACCACTTATTTCCATTTCTAACATAATGGTCCTCCTCTTTTCCTTCTTTTATAATTCGTGTTGCAGTACGATTAAATTCAGATTAACATTGAGGGTAAAATACTTTTTAACGAAGAGGATTTTGTATTTACGGAATTTAGTACTTTCTCCGTTTAAAAAAGAATGACCCCCTTTCCTTTTTAGTCTGTTACAAAAAGAATGATTTATTTTTTTTGGTAACATTTTAATTTCAGTTTTCCACGTGGCATATTTAAGACCACAAGATTAAAGGATAATTTTGTACATTTGACATAACTTTAATTTAGGACCACAAGATTCAAAAGTCTTCTTTATTTTTTTAAACTCCGTACCAAGTTAAATTAGGTCATTCTTTGTGAAACAGAGGGATAGCATATAAGGACTATGGAGTTTTATACACGGAATTTTATTGTGATTGGTATGAATAAAGTCGTTTTTTTTTCATTGGATATTTTTGGATGTTTGATTGATGAGTAAAAGAAAATATTAAAATATGGAGTATTAAATTATGTTATTATTATTAACCAAATAGGAGTGTGTTTTTGATGATTTTTTTTTTAGCATTAAAATTAATTAAAATGGTAGTTAGAGTTGAATTATTTTAGCATTAAAATTAACTAAAATGGTAGCTAGAATAGATAATATAAATGGTTTGAGAATCATGAAGGTCTCAGACAGTTCATATTCTAAAAATAAAAAACACTAGATGATTTTTTTAATAGATTCATGTGGAATTAGTAGAGGTGCGCATAAATTGGATCAAACACTACAATTGAAAATATTTATGGATAACCAAAATATGCGAAAATGATTTTAGCATTTTTTAGACGTCGAAGATATATATATATATATATATATATCATTTATTAAACAACGAGGTAATATACACCATTTTATTAACGGAGATATAATCCAATCAAAAACCCAAAGTTGAAAAAGTATAATTGCCCCTTTCGAATTAGTGATTCTTCGGCCTAAGATCCTCCCTCTTACTTGGTAAAGCGTGCAAGCAATTCATCATTTCTATTAGTAAAAACGAATGTGCATCTTAAATGGATTTAGATTTTTCATTAAAGAATGAAAAGAAATATATATGTATATATATATATAGCAAGGAGTTTGCATTTGAAATCTTAAGATAAATTTTGAACCCTTTAAATTACTAAACCAACAACTAATTTTGTATTCATAGGATTCAAAATCTATATATACGCACACACAAAAAAAGATATTAAATATTTTATGTATTTTTTTGTTGAGATAGTTTAGTAAACATCTTGACAACTCTCTAAATCCACCCCTGATTGACAATAACTTAAATAGACTTTTTTCGAGACAACTTGCAAATATACAACTTGTTGGGAGACGAAGGACGACCCTACCTTATAAGTATTCGGATTATATTATAATTTTTTATTAAAAAGGGGCAGCAAGATAAGCCACGGCTCTCTTGGAGCTCATCAATTTTTGTGAAGTAGCCAGTAGGTATTAGGATGAAAATTAAAAACAAATAAAAGTCTTTTTCTTATATAAAAAATTGACAAAAATGGAAAAGGAACAGCAGAATATAGACAAAAATAAACTATATATGTAATGGTAGCAACTAGCAACTATATATCATCTGTGGACTGCATAAATTTATTTAAAATAAATTTAAAAAAAGGAATCGTTCAGTATTTTTATAAGTGGATATTAATTGGAACATTGCCCTTTCATGAAGTGGATGGTCCAATATAAGATTTGTCTGACTATAAGTGAATATTAAATTCATATATGTGATTTGTATAATCAATTTAACGAGTTTGAGATTGAAGCGTAGTTACTAATTGATATTATGAATTTTTCTGTTTGCATTGTTCACATATATACGGCAATTAATTACTCTTTAGATGATTGTTACGTATGATTTTATAATTATATCGTATCATATTATACTATATTTATTTAAATAAATATAACGTTTTAATAGATTATATGATTTTACATTGTTACATATATAATGTCACAAATCAATATGATCAAGTAATATTTTATATTTATAAAAAAGAGTAGTACGGTGTGGAGTTATAATTATAAATGAGATAAAGGTACTATAGGATAAAACATCATTTTTAAATAACAAGTCAAGGCAAAATGAAAAGGAAAAAAAAAAGAAGTAACAATACGACAATGTCAAATTGCTTGTTTAATAAAAATGAGACTTTTCATAATGATGAATTTAAAATGTCATTGAAGAAAATTATGTGAACTTGACCCAAATTGAATAAATTATGTTGAGAGTGTCTTTGACCTGATTTAACCTAATGGTAAGATGAAAAATAATTAATACCCAAATTTATATAAAGCTTCTTGACATAACACTTGAAGCCACTTGAGAGAAAGGTAAGATGGATGTTAGCGTTATATTCATACTTAATCAAAGTTTTCGAATTCGAAAATATGTGAATGTAGAAATTACGTAATCCAAATTAGTGCAATTTAATCTTTGATACTAGTCTTGCAAATTAAGTTTTCCCAATGGCCATAACTGTGGAAACTCTTTTAGACTTCTAATTGATTATCTTAAGTTACAAAAATATATTTACCTTAAATTTGTCAAAATAATTAGGGAAAACTTCTTTCTTAGACATACATCCATATTATATATATTACTAATTCTATTTATACTTTTAAATAATTATTCTCTCCGTCCACTTTTAATTATTATGATTTCCTTTTTTAGAGTCAAATTATATGAACTTTGACTAACATTTTATGATGTATTTTTTCATTATATTGCTATTATGGGTGTTCACGATTTGGATAAAAACCGAACCAAATCGATAAAAAAAACTGATTTTATTTGGGTTTGGTTTTAGATTTTTGAAAACTGATAGTATTTGGTTTGGTTATGGTTTTATTCGAAAAAACCGAAGAAATAACCGAACCGAACCGATAAATTATATACATATATTTTATTAATATACATACTTAATATATTGTTTTTATAAACAATTTTAAAGATCTTATACATATTTTCATTAAAATTTCTTCATAATTTACTTATTGAAAGAAAAAATGACCAAGATGAAACATTTATCTTTTTGATTTCATGTATATGATTGTCTATGACAATTCTTTGTGGGACTGAAAATGTTATTGTCTCTTCCTTCTAGGCCAATATAGTGAATTTTAAAGCTTTATTGATAGTAAATTTAGTGACCGAAAGTTTAGTAATTTAAGTCATTCTAACTATTTTTCGTTTTGAATAGATTGTTGTCACTTTTTTTCACATTTTGAATGAATTGTTTCATTTATTTTTGTGTATGGTTAATAACCGAACCAAACCAAACCGAAACCGATAACAACCAACCCGATAAATGTATATTATATTTGGTTTGGTTTGGTTTTGATAATTTTAAAATCGATTAAGTTGGTTTGGTTCTGATTTTGACCAATAACCGATCCAAACCAACCCGTGAACACCCCTAATTGCTATGAAAAAAATTGCAATTGATAGTACTTTTCGTATAGTTTTTTAATAACTAATTTTTTTGTTTAAAATATTGAATTAACTAATTTAATTTCGAAAATTAGTCAAATTCACTTTTGTAAAACGCAACATGACAAATAAAAGTGGACGGAGTTAATATGTGCTTACCACTATTTAAGAATTTTCTACCATATATCCAGGAAGATACACCTAGATATATGTATTTTCGCTACCAGATACAATAAAATAGGGAGAACAACGAGCAAGATGAGGAAGAAGGCGAGCGAAACAGTCATGTATCCCATATATATGTGAATCACACTAGATATATACATGTATATTTATGTATTTGGTGTGATTCACATGTATCTGGAATATCAGATACATAGGAGAATGCTGAGAGAGATGGGAGGGAGGCAAACAAAATTTGTTATGTATCTCATATACATGTGAATCCACTTGAATATAGTGTATCTCGAACAAAGTACACCTAATTTGACTCATGTATCCCGAGATGCACGTATTTGGACAGTAAAAACATAAGAAAGTTTATACTAATATAAATTATTTCGATATTTGACATATCTGTCACAAAATTGTGACAATATTTATGACGAAATTCATAATGTTAACAACCCATATCTTCTTTGATTAATAAAAGCAAGAATCAACTCAAGGCACAAATTATA